CTTAATGGGTCAGAGATGTATAGATGAGTCTAGATGAGCTGTCGAGCTTTGAATGGCTTTGAGCACTGTTGACAGCTTTTATGGCAACAATATTATGAATTGCCTATCGGTTCCAGCAAAGCTTTGTTGGTTCCAGTGATGGACTGGAAACTGTCTATTCTTCGAAACTCTCCCAGCCATATGAAACTCCATTTTTGGAGAGGTGCTTGAGTGCAACCAGCAAAAAGACCACCTACATAGTGATTTGGTGAGTTCCCCAAGCTCTATGAGGGATCTTGGGAGATTCTGCAAGCAAACAATGATATTCGTAGTAGTTTCCAAAGTTATGAAACTTGTGCAGCTACCCTTGTATTAAATATGGTGGCAAATTGCTGATGGTGATCCAAATGGCATCTCTAGTTAGTCTTCAATGGGATTTCCACCCTCTAGTTAGTATCAAAGGGTATTGTTCCGGGAATTAAGTTTGCTTCCACGCCTCCACTACCTAGCCCTTTCTAGCGAAGTCAAACAACATTGCCAACACCAAGCTTCGCTGGCATGAATGCTTTGCTTTACCAGATGGGCAATGTTCATTCATCCATGCCTGCCAAGCCACTACTTCCATAGTTTATCTTGAATAATTCCCATGAGCTTGGATTCATGGACTTATGCTTATCTACGATAATAAGAAAGTACATATGAGTATATATTTGAGTATTTTAAATATAAGGAACATGTGAATATATGCAATGAAGAAGGAAATTCCCTTGTATGTTGAAGGAAACTATATGAACAAATGTCCGCTGCTCCCATTTACTTGCTGACCATGGTTGGCACTAATATATTGTTGCTGCTCATGGTTGGCGTTGTGCCAGAATAGAGAACAGATGATATGGGTATGTGCTGTGATATCGTTGTCTCGAGCCAATTTTTGTTGGTTGACAATACTTGCTAACACATAAAATATAAAAGAGATATGTTATAGATTGGGATTATCGTCAATCGGTAACTTTGTCCCTTTATATAGAAGAATGATAATTATGTATGACCACCAGCCATGTTGTATAAGCATTGTATGGTCAGCCATGAATAGCCTTCCCATATCTAGAGGGACAACAGTGGCTAGCTCTATCCATGGCTGGAGCATGAATTATATGGAATTGGAAGAGTACACCCATTAGTCTGTGAAGTCGCGAAGGGGTAAATCTCATTGAATCAGACTCTGCTATGGCGAGGAATATATGATAGAGAGAGAGGGAGTTGTCTCCATGGAAGGGGGACGTTAGTCGCATCCTTGGCCTCCGCTATGACAAAGTGTGATACCACTGACAAACGCTGACTCTTCTTGCTGTACCTGCACCGTCAGAGAATGGTCCTAGTTGTTGTGGCCGGCCGAGCACTGCACCACCGTGCACGGCTGACCATCAAGGGACCGTCGGCCGCTACTTAATGGATTTTTATCACTAGAGGGTAGCCATCCAGTCCGATTGCAGGATTACAACTGTTACCAACCTCATGCTAATCATATCGAATTGTGTTGACTTTTTATCCGTTTTCGGGAGCCGTAAGATGTAGCAGTGAACATCGCTACAAAGGACATGACTGTCAAGAAACACCAAGCCATGTCGTCAAAATAGATCTAGCCATGTGTGTGGGGGATAGATGCTAGAGTGTATTATATTTTGCGATGTCTTCGGTGAAGGAAATAAGTGTCATTTCTAGTGATGTTGATTTTACAACAGCAATAAGCAAAAAATTGGAGTCACATGTTGGATGTAAAAAAATAAATGTTGTGGGCCTTCACTGATACAGGTACATATGTCATTAGTTATGTAGGCATACAAATCCAGCCCTCTACATTGGTGAATACAATTTTGAAGCCGTTAAATTGTTTAATTATGAAATTTTGGAATAGGTGACTCTTATGATGATAATATTGTTTTTT